TCGTATCTATAACTCGCTCTTGCGCATGCGCGCAATTCACGAGTTAAAAAGGGGTTTTTCTCTTCAAGGCTGTCAACTTTTTGACAAACATTTAGTAACGAAGATGCATAACTATTGAAATAATTCCACAAATAGTAAAAAGAATTCGAGTGATTGCATGTGGGACATTCTTTTCAATGTTTACGTATAGCTGACTCATGTTTGTATACACGGCTTCTAGCCGTTTTAGTTTTATTTGGAACAAGAAACAATAAAAAGTAGATGTCGTGCGCCTGTTTGCAGGTGCCGGATCCACATACTTTATCTAAATCTGTGCGTTTAACCCGGATCTCAAGGTTTTTAACATCCGACTTGAATGTCGCAGAAACTTGAAAAACTATTGCAACAATATAGTGGACTGTTCGAAAAACATCCTGGACTAGATGAACCTTTACAAAAATGGCAATGGTCATAAATCTAACTCTATTTAACTATTTGACTTTATTCCATCGTATTGATGGAAATAGCTTTTCTTTAAACATTTTTACTCAAGGTAACCTGGATGATAATGGATTCCTAAGAAATATACAGTTACATGAACATCAACTACGCATAGTCAGATTTTTAAGGCCAGGAAGCCTTACAGTTGCAGAAATAACTTTTCCTTTTATCCCTTTAATAAACACTGACCGTCTGTAATGAAATACAAAAAAGAAAGCATCGATTGGAAATCAAATTTTACAGCAATTGGCAAAACATGTAAAGAAAAAAATACGACAATTTGATTTTAAGTTACAGCATAGACTAAATGTCACCGAGAAGACTTATGCACATATGGTCAAAGCGAGGGAAAAAGGTTTTACATCACAATTTGTCAGTCACTATTCTCCACATTTTCTTGGTATTTCACTACAATCAAGAATTTTTTTCGGAAGCTGTTAATCCGTTTATTGTAAAATATGCATGCATTTTATCTTTATCGCACTTCGGAAAATTATTTGGAACAACTACAAAAACCAATTACTATGAGTCTTTATTATAGGCAAAATATTATTTATACCCCCAAAAAAGAATTCCAAAGCAAGCAGTGTTGACGCGTTTATTTTATTAATTGACGGAAAATGAAAAATTAAGAATCGTCTTAAGAAAAAAAGTAAATATTAGTGGAAAAGCTTCTGACCTTATGCATGATATGCCTTATGCATGCATTCCACAACAATGCGAATTTATATTTTTGAACTATATTATGTTGTATTGTTTCTTTCACAATTGTAACATTTTTATTTTACCTTAATTATTTTTGCAAGTAATATTAACGATATTACATTTGTTCTGTTAGATGGAATAAACTGTAAAAAAAAAAATAATAAATAGATATCTCATCCATCAAAACGATTTTTTATTTGGTCGCCAGTTTTTCGGGAATCTCAACAAGCACTTCAACATCGTCATCGGTGTCGACATCATCTAGTGCTTCAACTTCG